TACATTATTTAGTCATGCCTTTTTAAACAAGATAATGGCAGAATGAATTTTAAGAAGAAAAAAAAAGACCGAAAAAGTCTAAAGTTATAAATAAAGAAACTTCTTGTTTCTGGTAGCGTTTGTACTTAACGTTGTTAACAGCAACATGAAGTCTGGTAACGTCCCTAACATATCAACATACAGTCGAGTGTTTTCAGCCATCTACAGGATAAAGTAAGGTTATCACGCCCTCTACTGTTTTCTGTACAATAAGCTACCGGTTCATTATTAAATTATCGATAATTTTCACGCTGAGCGAAACTGCCACGGGGGGTAACAAAACTTCTTTCACGGTAGTATTGCGTTAGGCCTTCTGCGTTTTACCGTTTCATAAGCACAGAAATATGAATTGTTTCCCCAAACCCTCACTGCTGGAGTAAAAACTCCTGCGTAAAGAAAAACACGAATAAATTTCATTTTATATTGCCTGCCGCGAATTCTCATTGTCCCTCGTTTTATTACTTTACAGTATCAAATAAAGAGGCAGAAAAAAAACTGAACATTAGCTTCTGGCTCTAAACGTTGGTCTTGTAAAACATGCGCCTTATTTCAAAATAAATACGATAAATTTGTCTAAAGTGACGTCATTGAGATTCGGTTTGTTAGCAATTTTGCGCAAAGGTACTCGAGGGCTATTCAGACAACAGTGATAGGCACCTAGTCAACACCACCCTCCGCCAACGCTTGGGCTACTATTTTACCAAGGAATAGTGGGATTGACTGTTACGTTATAACGCTCCCACGGCTGAAAGAGAGAGCATGTTTGGTGACGGGGATTCGAACCCGCGACCCGCAGATTACGTGTCGAGCGCCCTAACCATCAGGCTATGTCATTTAGTGATTTTGAAAGATGCGCGTAATCAATACAATAGTATTGTAAGAAAAGAAAAATTGTGTAACAGTCAGAGTTACGTTAAATAAGGTGTTATTTTATAAGATATGCTGTAAACAAGTACCTAAGGGCTCGATTCATTAATATCCAAATAAATATATTCAAAGTTCTAATACGTTGTGATCAGGTCCAAATTGTTACTCTACGTTAAACTCCCAATGTTCTATTTGGTACCCTCGCGCTCTGACGTATAATCTCACAGTACTGCTTATATTTAAAGCAAATTTATAAATCCATCGTTGGATTGGGATACTCGTTCGTCTCCATAATCCAGTAAGTCCGTTTTTTTTTTGTTTTTTTTATAACGTGATTAAATTCCATAAAGTCTGATGTAGGATAAGTAGAGTTGAATTTATGAGTCTAAATTTTTAGCTGCGGCATAGCGGCTCTCAGAACGGCTCTGAGTTTGTTTTTGTTTTTTTTTCATGTACAAACTTTTAGCTCATAGCTCCATCATCTTTTGACCGATTTGAGGTCTAATTGCAGTTTTGGACACAGGAGGTTAAACCCTTACGATTGGTTTATTGATCACGCCCTAGGTCTGATAGATTAATTTATTCTAATCCTGCCTAAAAGAATTTCAATTGGAGGGTAGGCTGGTAGAAATAAAACCGAATCGGGTATACGCGCGCGCCCCACGCTTGGTATTGCTGGCGCAGAACAATATAGCTAATAAAAAGGGAGACAAAGGTCTCATAGATTAATTTACTCTAATCCTGCCTAAAATAATTTCAAGTGCCGCGGCTATTGAGGATTCCCTCTTGTTTGCTTTGTTTAAGATGCTTTTTAGTTTAAATAAAATGATAATTTTTGGATAATTATATTTTGATTTTTAATCTTAGAATAACTGGAAATGTTCAAGGATCTTGGCGTAATTTAACTTAAAATCCTAGGATAGGTCCAGTGTAAATATAGAATATACACAGTATAAAATCTGTGAATTTTAGGTTAGACTCGAGAATACGCGATACAAATCGTATCAGGAACAAAACGATCGTGTAGATATGGTAGTATAGTTCAACTTTAGTGTATACTGAGTTGTGCTACACCTCAGAGTCAAAACTGACCTACTGAGCTGATCTTAAAAATGTGCAATATTGACTTTGTGACATCCGTCCTGTCTATTACTCGTTCTTTAAATGTTATAAGTAAGCACTCTACGTTCAGCATATTTTATTTGGGGATTCATAAAAGAAGAATGAAAATAAGTTATTACTACACAGAGTGAACGAAAATATTTACAGAACAGTGAAGTCCAGTTTGGTAAACCAGACAGTTAAGCGCCATTTTTTGTTTGTTTCATGTTTTTACAGTTCATCACAAAACAGCCACACATGTCATACAATCATACTAGGTCCTTTATTAGTGGTCAGTTCATCACGAAGCAACCACACCTTACATATTATTATATCAGGGTCTTCATTAGTGGTCAGTTCATCACGAAACAGTCACACCTGTCATGTGATCATATCAAGACCTTTATTAAAGATCAGTTCGTCACACGTTGCGTGATTCTGAATTGCAGTTATAAACTACTTAATAAGTACTTCAGAAATGGTAGTTCTTGTTTCTAAAATATAAAAAAAATTACAAAAGTTAAAATTCGGATTGGCTAGGAGGAACACGATACTTTCACATGGTTTCTAACATGTACTGTCATTGGAGCTTCCTGATTAAAACACTGTTCGGGAGAGTTTCCGGAACCAATCATGGTCAATTCATCACGAAGCAGCCACACCTGTCATGTGATCACATCAGGGTCTTTATTAGTGGTCAATTCATCACGAAGCAGCCACACCTGTCATGTGATCACATCAGGGTCTTCATTAGTGGTCTAATAGACCCTGGTGTGATCACATGACAGGTGTGGCTACTTTGTGATGAATTAACCGCTAATAAAGACCCTGATGTGATTACATGACAGGTGTGGGTGCTTCATGATGAATTGACCACTAATAAAGACCCTGATGTGATAATATGACAGGTGTGGCTGCTTCGTGATGAACTGACCACTAATAGACCCTGGTGTGATCACATGACAGGTGTGGCTGCTTCGTGATGAATTGACCACTAATAGACCCTGGTGTGATCACATGACAGGTGTGGCTGCTTCGTGATGAATTGACCATTAATAAAGACCCCGATGTGATCACATGACAGGTGTGGCTGCTTCGTGATGAATTGACCACTAATAAAGACCCTGATGTGATCACATGACAGGTGTGGCTGCTTCGTGATGAATTGACCACTAATAAAGACCCTGATGTGATCACATGACAGGTGTGGCTGCTT